AGTCAGCCCCCTGCAGGCCAAAAAGAAGTGGGACAACTTAAAAAGAAAGTATAAAGTATGTATATATGAGAAGTGAAGAATTACTTTTTTAACTGCACATGTTAATAAATGTTCATTTTTAAACGATAATTGTTTCTTTTATTGTCAGCTGTGATTTCTGATTTCCTCTGTGTTTAGGATTGCAAGTATCCAGGTTCAGGTTCAGGAGTCAGTGGGAAGCCCACTGCTGCTACTTGGCCCTGGTTTGACCTGATGGATGAGGTGTTAGAGGACATGAGACAGCAGAGAGGACATGAGACAGCAGAGAGAGGACACGAGGATGCAGAGAGAGGACACGAGGCAGCAGAGAGAAGCAGAGGAGAGTAGAGCACAGGAGAGCAGGGAGAGAATGGACAGACTGTTTTCAGTACTTGAAAGACTTGTTTCAAAATAAAAAAAAATTAATTCTGTTATTGTTGTGTTCAGGTATTGTTCTATTATTGTTTTATGCAGTTATTGTTCTATTGTTTTATGTAGTTATTGTTCCAAATAAATGAAAAAAAAAAACAGTAAATGAATATAACTCATTTTATTAACTTAACATTTTTTAAACTTGTATTAACATGAACAAGAATATGAAGAAAAAACTATTTACAGAAATAAAAAAGAAACATTGTACAGCTATTTACAGTTAAGGCAGGATTAACCTGAGTGTCCCCTTCCTTGACCATTTAATGTAAAACAAAACAAACAAACAAACAAACAAAAAAACCAGGAAGTCTCTGGCAGTGTTGCTGGATGTGCTGAAGGACAGGACTGGAGTGCCACAACTGAGACACGGGACTGGTCTTCTCTGGTCAGCAAGTGGAACATCATGGGTGGTCTGCAGAGTGTTTTTGGGACGCTCCCTCTCACTGTCCACTGAATCGTCCAACAACCAGCACTGAGGGATGTTGTGGAGCATGGCGCAAGCAGTGATGACCTACAATAGAGGGAAAAAAACTAAATTGGTATATAAGAATACATATACATTTCTATATTTAAAGAATGTGAGATGATGAAAAAAATTAGTTCAGATGTATAATTAAAATTTTAATTATAATTTATTTGTAAGTATCTATAATATATATAGTTTAATTTATAAAACAAAGCATTATTATGATTATTAGACTCAAGTTTAATAACCTAATATACAGTAAAACACTTCAAAATCAATTCTTTAAAAAACAAGGAGGCCCCTGAGAGAGTCCAGCACATAACAGCAGGGTGCAAGATGCTGGCAGGGAAAGCGTACATGGAACAACATAACCAAGTGGTAGGCATAGTGTACAGGAACGTCTGTGCAGAATATGGACTGGAAGCCCCGAGATCGAAGTGGGGAACACCCCCAAAGGTGGTGGAGAATGAC